TGTGATGATCCAAGTTTTGGGTTAGGTACAGTGCAAATTCCATGGTAGAAATACAAACTTCCATGGACATTTCCCATGATCTCAGCCAGTGGAAACACGCAGCCTTTGATCTGTGGTGCATTTCAGTTGCACTTGGCCACTGCTTTCAAAAAGGGAAAATTAAACTCCCATGTCTAAGACAGAAGCTCAGAAAGTCCATGGTGTTTTGCCCTGCACTGGGCATCATTTCAGGTTGTCTGAAGTTTTTTTGGTAATAAAGGAACTGCCTCAGCCTGCCAGCCTGGCCCCTGCTTGCCCTGAAGTTCACCCATGAGGAAATTTAATCAAAACTCCTGGAAGTGTCTGGATATTTACTGAGATTGCACCAGGAAGACCCCACTCTTTAGACATTTGCTGGATGCAGAAGAAAATGCTGCCTGAAGCTTTCATTTAGGAAATGGATTATATCTGGTTCCAGACTGGTTTGAATTTAAGTTTTTCATAACAGACCACAGTACAGTCAGAATTTCGCCTTTTTAATTTTTTATACCAAGCTGCCAGTGAAATGAAATGTTTCTGTTTATTCAGGCTATGCTCTTATGGAGAGAAAAAAGCCCCTTCAATTTAGGTATAAACTAAAAATAAAAGCTGAAAAATATTCATTCATTCTTTCAGCCCTGATCCAGGTTTAGTCTGATGGATATTTTTCCTATCTATAGAGGTTTTTTGCTAGAAAATACAGATATAGTGTATTTATATATTTGATATAGTGTATTTCTGTATTTATGAAAATACAGATACAGTGTATTTATATATTTTTAGCATTTCTGTATTTATGAAAATACAGATATAGTGTATTTATATATTTCAACAGATTTATGGCTGTTATTCTTTTAAATGTTTCTTCCTTATGAAATAAAATAAAATATAAGGAAATACAGCACATATTTCTTTGAAGAAATTGCAAGAACCACTATAACAAATTAATTCACTGTGATTAGTCTAGCAAAGTTTTGATTTCACAGAAAATTTGGGAGATTTTCTGTCAGCATTAATGGAACTAATGCTTTGTCTGAGGTGTCTCACAAATCTGAGTTGTTTCAGTCCTTTAAAAAGAAGCTCTGTGCAGAGAAGCTCTAGATTTTAATTATATAAAATATTAGGAATATTTTCTTTAAAAATATATGCATTTGTCTCCTGGTAATTTTTTCTTTATAAAAATGTTAGAAACACAAATATTGGCTCTACAGCACAAACAACTGCAAACCCACTTTCTTAGAAACCCAAGAAAATGGGGATTAGGTGAATAGAAATACCTTTTTGCTTTCAGTTTATTGTCCTGAAGCTCATACACTTCATAGAAATGAACCCTAAATATATCTGTGAATTTTATTCAGTTAAATTGAAATGTACCAAATATCAGTAACTGTTTCAAAAATTTGATCAAATCAAGGTTGACATTAATAATGAAATAAGAATTACTAAAAACCTACATGAAAATTTCCTTGAAGTGAATTACACTGAGATATTTTCTCATTAAGTACCTAAACCCCTCCTATTTATAAGGTAAGTAAGAAGTAAGGGTTTGGAATTTTGTAAAGATTAAGGGAAAAAAATAAAAATAAATAAAAATAAAAATTAAAATAATAAAAATAAAAAGGTTTAGTGAATCTGTACAAGAAATAAAGGCAGAAATCCTGTGCAGATTTATTTGCTTTCTGCATGAAGGTGAGGTGCAGAACAAAACCAACCAGATTTCACAGATTGGAGATTCAATGCTCACAAGTCAGTGCCAGAAACAAATCAAAGCTGGGTTTAGAACAGAGAAAAAACAGCAGAAAATAAATGTAATTCATAACAGTATTTTTATCTGGTAGGAAAACGGAAAACCAAATATAATTCAATGCTGATCAATAATGGTATGAAAAGTAATTATGCAAATGGTTGTAAACATAATTTATTCACTGCATGAATGAGGATTAATAGAATAAAATAGTAATAAATGACTTAGAGAGAGTTCTGATATAAAACTCTACAGCTTTGCAGCCATTATTTCTCGTGGCTAATTAGCAACAAAAATTAATTGTTATGTCGGAAGGATCTTTGGTACAAAGATGCTTTTTTGTTTGTGACACTTAAAATGCTCTGTGCTAGAACTTCCTTCTATTGAATTTATTATTATTGAATTAGCTTACCTGTTTCACAAGGAACAAGACCATGAGAGAGCTGGCAGAGGTTGGAGCTATCCTGGACCAGAGTCCCATGCTGGAACAGAGAGCAAGAAGTGTCACCATCCCTTTCGGGTAGATTTGTCCCCAATATGCTGCTATTTCACTCTAAAGATCAATTATATTAATTAAAAAATAAAAAATAGAAGTAAAAGTGTCTTCTTTTATGAATGCCAGTGTTCCATGAATGCTCTTTCCAACAAGTGAGGAAATCTCCTGAAGTGTTTAGCTTTGCTAGGCTCCAACTCCGCTTTGGTTTTTCTGATTAAAGGCAGAGAGAGCTCAGTCTAAACTTCACAAACTCTGCTTACTGCAGCTCCTCCATTAGCCAATAAGGAGGCAGAAAACTATTAAAACATTAAAGGGCTGATCCTGTCCCTTGAAGCACCACAGGAATTTTGCCAGTGATTTTTACAGAATGCAATCCAGCTCCACAAAACCACAAATATATACATACATACATACATACATACATACGTACATACATACATACATACATACATAAATATTTATATATCTAAATTCATTTTATATTTATATTTATATTTATATTTATATTTATATTTATATTTATATTTATATTTATAGGTATATTTATAGGTATATTTATAGGTATAGGTATATATTTACATGTATATTTATACACATATTAATACATATCTCTATATATGGGTATATTTATCCATAAATATTTATACATGTATATATTTTACATATATATATTTATACACATACATCTATATTTATTTTATATTTCTATTTACATTTTATATTTCTATTTCTATTTCTATTTCTATTTCTAGTTCTAGTTCTAGTTCTAGTTATATTTACATTTACATTTACATTTATATTTATATTTATATTTATATTTATATTTATATTTATATTTATATTTATATTTATATTTATATTTATATTTATATTTATATTTAATTTTGTGCATATGTATTTATACATATCTATATATGTCTATTTTTAATATATCTTTATAAATATTTATACACATATATATTTCTACACACCTCACGAAACCAGTAAATGACACCTTAAAGCACAGGAAAACCTTTGTGTAGGAAGCTTGTTGGGGTGTGTCAGAAAACAGCTCACTAAAAGTTGGTTTTATGCTTTTTGATAATATTTTGTGAAATGTGCACACCCAGTGCAGGATCAATGACAATCTAAATGCAACAAAAAGAAAATGCTCCCAGTAGTGAAGTTTTACTACAATTCTTGTGATGTTCAATGTTTTCTTCAAAGCTGCAGCTGCCAGGTGGATCGTGGCTGTCTTGGTGATACCTGCACATATTCTGTTTACCCACCTCTCAAATTTATTCAGCAAAAAGTCCCTGCATGTAACACTTTGCTTGAAGGAAGGTCCAGCAAACCTATTTACTCCTCTGTTATATTCTTTCTTTTTTCACAGTTTAGACAGAACTAAACAAAAAGTTTCTCCTATTTCTCCAATTAAACAGAGCCGTTCTTGCCTGAAAAATTGATTTGAAAGTTGTGGTACCAGAATTGCTAGGGAATGAGCAAAAAACTGTCTCTGTGAAACATCTCAGACTGCAGGTGTCATCCAGAAGGCATCAGTGGTTTCACAGGTCTCAAAATACATTTAATTACAGCCATATGCAGATTAGTCACAGGAACAGAAAGAGATCAGGGTTTAATCCTTAGAAGGATTTCCCTCCCTCCTGCTCTCACATTTGCTCCCACTCCTGTTCTCACATGTGCTACGCCCTTGAGAAAATGCAGGGAGACAAAGGAAATTTTCTAATTTTAGGAAAAAATAACTCCTGGCTGGGGATACATCTGCATTTTGGGTTGTGAGATTTGCTCTGCCTTTTCAGACCAGACCTGCTTGGTCTTGCACTCTGTAAGCTGAGCTTTTCATGGCAACCTACAGCAGGCACTGATCCTGTCATCCTTGAGTTTCATCTGCTTCTCCAGCTCTGACATCTTTGGGTAGAGAGTTGTCTTGAAAATCCAAATTATTTTCATTAGAAGGTACATAAGTGACTTCAGTGTCTGTCCTGAGGAACCATTCTCCCCCAGGGCACAAGTTTTGACTTCACAGTTGCAAAATAAAGCAGTGAATTACTCTAACACCCATTTCCTTTTAGTTCTTTGCATAACTTACTTGCATCACCAAACAGACAGAAAAAACAATATGTATAACATAAGGTGGGAAATGTTTCCTAGATGGAGGAAAAAGAAATGCTTTCACACAGTGAAATAGCAAATAAGGATAATTCAGCATTTTCTCTAATGTTTCACCTCCCTTGGGCAAAACCTGTGTTGTGTGTTCAGAGGGGCAGACTGGACAGTGCCCAGGAAACCATCATAATCAAAGTCAGGTAATTTTATTATTTTCAAATAATTATATGTCACTGGTGGAGCTCCGAACATAGGCAGTCCCCTTTCTAGTGCTGCACGCTGTGAAATGCTGTGGCTGATCAACCAGTTTTAGTTCCTTACAAGTTTTTAATAGCAAGAGTCACAACTGTATTCAATTTAAAGAGCTCAGTGTCACAGGAGCTTTTGGAACTGTGAGATTTTGTTTATTCCTTTTAAAAAATAGAGATTCCATCAGTCCGACTCTGATCAAGGTAAATAGGCATGTTTTGTTTGTATAAATAAAACTTTAGTGATTGCACACTGGGGTGCTTCCAGTGCTTCTGAGTATGATTCATGGGGCAAATTAACATTTATTGTCACACTTCCTCATATTCTTTCCACAACACATTGCTGCCAAGCAACACTGTCCTTTATTCTTAATCTCCCCTGCCACATGATTTCTGGTCATGCCCAGATCTCTGCTCTCTGCCTTAAACTCCTAAGCCAGCACAATTTTCTGGGAGGGATGAGGAATGGGATGGTGAAGGCAGACAGGTGCTTCATCAGAAATTTGCAGAAGGGAATTTCAGGAATAATTTCTGGTGCATCTCCGGAAGATGCCACCCTCCATCCCCGAGGCAGACAGGAGGCACAGAGCCTCAGCAGCATTCTCTCTGAGTTTCCTCTCTTTAATCTTCTCCATCACAGCTTTCAGCAGCAGTTACTGGTGCGAGGGGACCAGGAAAGTGGCCAAGCCTTTCTGCAAAGGGGACAGCAAAGGGGATCTGTGCATCCGCTTCAACAGCGCCGACGGCAACGGCAGCCAGGCTGTGCAGTACATCTGGGAGACCGGCGATGACAAATTCGTGGAGAAGAAGTTCCACGCTGGCATCTGGTACTCCTGTGAGGAAATGATCAATGAGGAAGGTGGGTAAGCCCGTGGGAGTTTATTTAATAAATTAATCATGGTTTTTTCCTGCTTATTTGGTGCGCCCGTCCCTTCTGCCTCATTACCGCCTATGTATTTTATGGTGTATTATGGTTGTTTGTTTGCATCTTCACATGAAATCACTGCTTGAATCTACAGCCAGGTGTCTCAGGGCATATTTGGTTTTTAAAAAGTTTAGGTGTTGGGAAGGATGAAAGTTTGACAAGGAAGTCTCACAGATATGTGTGCTTAGCAGAAAGATTTTTGTCCTTAAAAAGTTGCTCTTCTCTGGCGAAAGGGACCTTAGAGGGTAGTGTATAGTCAATTTTTAAAAAATTCCTAATAAATTCTGCAAAGAACATGAAGGTGACAGGTTGTGGTGTTGATTTAGCTGACAGGTTGTGGTTCCTGTCAGTTAAGTACACATAATCAGATTATTTGGTTTTTATTCTACTCGCCATAACAGCAAATTAAATGACTCTAACAAGAAAGCATTTCATTTTTCCAGTGGTCTTATTCCATTAGCCCAAAATGAATCCTTGCTTTAAATAATTCCTTTTGATACCCTATGGATAAAATGCCCTAAGGATCAGAAGGATCCATAAAAAACATAAAAACATAAAAAACACAAACTGATTTTTTTAAAACGCATATTTTTTTATCATTTGTACTAATATATCTGTGGGATCTAAATTAGTTCCTGGATTTACTCTTGAGCACAAGTGTTTCTGCTTTCTTCCTGTGATCTCACCTTGCATAAATCAAAGCAGAAGAAGATTATTTTCATCCTGCTAAAACATGATATGGAGACTTACTGGCCATAAGTGATGGCATTTAATTGGGGCTCATTCTGTATATGTAAATGGTATGAGAATGAAATTAGCTTGCCATTACAAAAACTTTCTAGCAAATTTTGTATTTTTGTATAAGGGAATTGCTGGTCCAAGAATTCCAGCATTTATTGTATAACCAGATCAACATTAAGTTTTTCCCCTTATTGCCCTGATCAGTTTACAAGCCCAGCTAGAGCAGAACTTCAGATAAATCAAAGCAGCTGTCACCTATGCCATAAAATGCAAATATTTTCACAGTCACCTGTCCTGAAGGACCAGTTTTACCAGAACTTCATGGAAGTTATGCAGTTTTAAGGGGAAAATGTCAAAGATCAGAGCAGTTGTCCAAAAGACACTTTTATCCATGCTGTGTGTTCCAGGGTTGTGTAATCTGAGCATCTGCTGTGGAAGCTCAAGTTTGGAAGCTGATGTTTTCTGACTTGGTGCAGTTAGGAGCTGGGGAAAATAAAAACCAACCCAGCATGTTCAGATCAGAGAATTAATTCCCAGAGCTTTGTTCACAGCATCTGTGCGGGGGGCAGGGGGGCATGTGGGCTTGGAAAGCAAAGCTCACAGGAAGAAATTGCAATGAAGCTTAGAGGGAATTTGTGTGAGCAGCAGCCCGGCTGCTGTGAGGAGAGCAGCTCTGCCCTGACACCAGCGCTGATCCCAGTCCTGCAAAGGAATTCTCCCCTCCTGGCTCTCGCAGCCACCAGCCCATGGAAATCAGTTCACAGCCTTCCTCTGGCTCCTCCAGGCTCTGGGTCTGCAGTGAAATAGGCTGTGAGGACCCTCTGGTTAAACCCCAGGAGAAATTTGATGTACCAGGGTCTCTGTGTACACTAAAACCAGCTTTTCCTCATCTTCTCACTTTCTGCTTCTACAATAGCTTTTCCATTTCCTTCTATTAATCTCTTTCTTTATATCATTACAGAGTACAAAAAAATCCTGAATTTGATTTATTTTTTTCTCTTTTTTAGGTGAGAAATGTAGAAGCTTCATCAGTCTGACTCCAGCTTCTGATCGAGGTAGATATTGCATATTGTTTGTCTGCAGTCAAAACTTTCCTGATCACGCTTACCAATATGAGTATTCTGCATTAAATTAAATTAATCAATTTAAAATGATTGCTTTAATCACAAAGAGTATTTTTTGTCTTTCATTTACTTTTCTAACTTCAAAATGAAGGCAATATGGCTTACAATATCAATGTATGTCTTTCTGAAGACACATCACTTGGATACGAATGGTTTTTGAAATTGGAATATGGGTACTGGAAGTCAAAATTTGTGTATTTTTGCCCTCTGTCCCTCATACCTCCATATTTGGAGCCAGGAAGTCCATGGCAGTGTGTGAACATCCACCCAGGAGGTTTGTGTGCTCAGGGGATTGAGGGAGATGTGCTGTGCACCAATTGATGGAATCTGAATCCCCTCCCTGTGCCTTACTCAGGGCTGTGGGGACACAGCTCCATTCTCTTCTTTCAAAGAATATTCAATAATTCTTAATAAAGAATAATTAATTCTTAATAAAGAATTATAGTTCTTAATACAGAATATTTCAAATATTTTCATAAAACATACCTGCAGATGCTGCTTTGTGCCTTCCTCTTGATCCCCAATGTGAAAATATCAGTCCATCACTGATCTGATTTGACCACTGATCAATCACTTTACAAGTGGCTGATCCAGAAAAAAATCCCAAAACTCATTCTTCCCAGTGGCTGACCCAGAAAAAAACCCCCAAAACTTGTTCTTCCCAGCATTCTGGGACTGGAGCATTTGCCTGGAAATGCAATTTCAGACCCTGGAGAAGAAGAAATACTCATTTTCTGAAGGCCACTCTTCCTTCTACCTGCTGCAGCTCATCACAGTGCCTTAACAGAATAATAGAATTTTGTAGCATGAGAAAAAAGTATAAATGAGATGTGGGTGTAGTCACACAGGAGTGAGGGGTGGTTTTTGAGAGTTCCTCACAAGGAAAACTGCTGGTGGACACAGAGCTGACACTGACTCTGTACAGCAGCAGCAAATGTCACAGGCACTGGCAGGCCAGTGGAGACAGCCAAGAAGCCTCTGGGTACCTAAAAAGCAGAAATCTCCCTTTGGGCAGTGAAATGCTGTGTGGAAATCCTGCCCAGGACAGATCTGTGCTCTGCACATGCCTGGGGGTGCTGTGGATCCAAACTCAGCGTGCAGCAGGCTCAGCCTCCCCGAATTCCTCACCCCTGGGTCCCACACACAGGGCTGGTCACCTTTGTCTGGGGCATTTCTCACAATGGCTCACTGCCCAAAACATGTTAAAATGCAAATTCTCACAGCTGGAGCAGCCAGCACTGTTGGGCAATGCAACATCTGGAGCTCCTGATGAAAATCATGATTTTTTAGCGAGACAGATTTTCTGGAGGAACAAACCATGTCCAAGAACACCCACACATAGCCTGGCCCAAAAATTTAATGTCTGAATGGCCCATGAATCACAGAAGTCCCACAGACATTGTCCAAGCCAGCATTTGGAGTTATACACCACACAAACTTTGTCTCAAGGATGTGTCTCAGTTTCAGTGTTTCAGTTTTTAAATTATGATTGGTTTTTTATGTCTTCTCATGAAATTTTTAAATTATGATTGTTTGTTTAGGTCTTCTCATGAAATCACTGCTTGAATCTGCAGCCAGGTGTCTCAGGGCATATTTGGTTTTTAAAAAGTTTGGGTGTTGGGAAGGATGAAAGTTTGACAAGAAAGTTTTACAGATATGTGTGCTTATCTGAAAGATTTTTGAATGTAGAATCTGAAGAAGAAATATAAATTAAAGCAAGTTTTGATATAGAAGAAAAGAATTGCTGAGCCAGTCTCACTGGATAACCAAGGAGGCAAAGGGTGTGTTAGTTAGAAGGGGATTTTATGGCTTAGAGCAAAGGATAAACCCACCTCAAACAAGATGTTTTTACCAAGCACAAAGAGAGCACAGGAAAACAAGGCAGCAAATGTGGCAAGAAGAAAAAAGGTCTCAGAATTTTCCACTGCAAGAAAACTGAAAAACAACTTCTAGCTTAAACTGCAATGTACAAACTTTTAGTGATTGGAGAACAGTAACATGAATATGGTAATTACAGTAGTTATGACAGGCTATAGATAAAAGTTAAGGGATAGATTGGTTCTACTGTATTAAGATGCTCAGCAAAGAAAAGTATAAAATGCATTGTAACCAAAACCAAAGGGTGTCCAGGCCTGCCTGCAGCTGGAGCTGACAGCTATAGGCACAGCTCTGTCACCCACAACCCTGGGCTGCTGTGACATCCTGGATACAATAAACTGCATTTTGGAGAGCCCCTGGAGTCCCACATCCCTCATTACAGCTCTTACATTTGGGAGAGCTGATCTCCCATTTGCCAGATCTTGCCACAGCAGATTTGGGCACAAGGAGAGCTCCTGCTCCTGTCTGTGGGACATTGGCACGCTAAAGGTCAGACAGGCTGAGAGACTTTCATGGCAGGATTAACTTCTTGCATAAGATGTAATTACCAGATCTCCAAAGAGAGAGGAATTAGCAGATAACTAGGGAAATGAATCTCAGCGAAACCTGGAGGCTGTCTGGCCTCATGAAGGCTTCTCTGTCTAAAAAAAATCGGGATCCTGTTTGGTTCAAAGTTAGACTTGTGGGGAAGATTTTATTGAATGCCTGGACCCACAGGCAGTGCAGGTGTGTGCATGACCTCCAGGTTGTTAGCTGGGTCTGCTGCTCCTCTCTGCACTCAGAACCATGACACCAACACTTCTTTTTATATCACCTTTGGTTCTTTGTATATTACCTTTAGTTCTTTTTATATTAAATTTGGTTATTTTTATATTACCTTTGGTAATTTTTATATTACCTTTGGTTTATGGTGATTTTAGGGTAGCTACTGAGTAAAAACCACACTGAACCACATTGCAATAAGTGTGTGGCAACTGCTATTCCAATATGCAACTGCTTTTCCAATAATTATAATTTGAACATTAATTATTTACCTAATTAATTAAAATTATTAAGATTAATTTTTAAAATAATTACATTTATTTTCCAATAATTATAATCAATTTGTCATTGACACTGAAGTCCTCCACAGATGTTTTCATTACCACAGCACCCTCACAGTCCCTGTGCTTCTGTTTAACTTTGCATGAACATTACAAATGAAGAAGGAAATTGTGAAAATCCGAAGTTATTTGCTGATAATATCAGTGCTGTTGATTTGGTTTGCAGGGGTTTTATGGCTGTCTATTGTAGCAGAGCTTCTCTACGTGGTTTTGCTCCTGATTGGAAACATTCTGATGTCAGTAGAAATCTGCTACTACAGCTCTGTCATTGATGGGCTGAAGATCAACGCCTTCTCTGCAGTGGTCACCGTGCTAGCAGGTACAGTTAAACACCTCCATTTCACAAAGTGAAGCAAAATTTTATGGAAAAATTTCTTTTCAATTAATTGTTTCTTAATGTGATCTATTTTGAATTTTAGATTTGTGGATTTTGCTACGTTTAACTTATCATTTTTAATTTAGTTGTCAGGTGGGTTGCCAAAGACTAAATAACTAATGTTATCATAACATTGTATTTTTAGGTCTTCTGGGCATGGTTGCTCACATGATGTACACAACTGTGTTTCAAATGACTGTAAATCTTGGTCCTGAAGACTGGAGACCTCACACTTGGGATTATGGCTGGTCCTACGGGTACTAACTGGTTTATATTTGGTTCTGTCCTGTCACTGTTCCCTGGGACAGAGTCCGACCCCACCTGGCTGCACCCTCCAGTTCATGCTCACGTGGCCATATTTTTACATGCTGCTTTTAATTTTGTACATTTTTAACAAATTGTATTTCAATATAATTTTTTTTTTAATTCTGTCTCCTTAGGTGTTTTAACATTTCAGAGCTGATGTCCTTTTTTCTCTGTTTACTGTGCCATGCATTTGCTCAGGAATGCATTTCAATGCCCTGAACCTCCTTTACCCAGATATTTTATAGTTCTTTTTAACACTTTTGGGTAACTCACATTTTTCTCAGTGTCACCTGTGAGATTTATACCCTTAATAACTGCACCTTTTAACTTTTTATGCATTGCCATTTTTTTTAATAAAACCCCTTTCTGATATTAAGCTCTAAGCTTATTAAAGAAGTAAAGCTTAAATAGAGCTAAAATAGAGAAATTAGAGGTAGGTTTCATGAAACAGGTATGGTAAATGTAGATATTGCAGTAAATATGTAGAGGTCTGTAAATGGTCATTGACCAAGAGCATTTTTTCCTCACCCAGCCTGTTCATCTTTCCCTAATACTCACCAACACAATCACACATAATCAGTGTTTTCAAAAATAAAATTGAAGGGCTTGAATATGAAAATTCCCTGCTAATTTCTGCTAATTTTTGCTTTTTTGTTCACAGCCTTGCATGGACCTCCTTCGCTTGCTGTATGGCAGCAGCTGTCACCACTATTAACAAATACACAAAAACTATCTTGGAATTCAAGCACAAAAGGAAAAAGCTGGAAAGGAGCTTCAGGATTCAGTACAAGTTTCCTGAGTACACAGCTCCAGAGAAGGTTTGCAATGTGTATGTGAACTCTTTCCAGAACACCACAGATGACCCCGCACATGCATTGAGAAGTCTGCGTCACCTGGCCACTATTTCAGTCCTGTAAAGCTGAACCAGATCTCAGAGAATTCTGTAAATTATAATCCTAGATCCAAACAAAACGGTGTTCATGAATAAAATGTCTCAATGTGTAGTATTATTTTTCTTAATAAAGAAATTATATTTCCGTGGATGTTTCAAGGAAGTCTTGGTATTGGAAAAGAAGATTCAGGTGGCTCAGTTCAGATAAAAACAGTGAGACAGGTTCCTCCCAGGTCTAGTTTTTAAGTTTTTAACTGATACAGAGTATGTGAGTTGGTTAGTATTTTAGAGCATCACTCCATTCTGATTCTTTCTTAAAAAGACTGTAAAAAAATCCCATCCTGAAACCAAAAGCCATGAGAAGCAAGGCAGCAAATAAGGCAAGTGGTGCATGGCTTGGATAATTTTTGGTGGTGAAAGGTTCAATCTCTCCAAGACAACATGTGGATCTCAGCTCATGGTTCAAGAATTTCACCATACACATGGTGGATTTGCTGTGAAAGGAAGGCTGGTGGAGGGAACAGGTTTCAGTGTGAACACTTAGATAAAATGAGAAAGCAAAATAAAATCTGGAAGATTCATGAGGAGGCAAAATGAAATCTGAAAAATACCTGGTGGTGGACAGCACACCACTTACCTATGGAATTCTCCAGGAATCATTCTGGGAACAGACTCAGAAAGAATCAAAATTTGATTTATACATTTCTAAATGAAGAATCTCTAATCACATTAAAGATGGGGAGGTGGAAATGATGGCAAACATCACAGATCAGGAACATGGAGCCTCCTAATGGAACTGAGCCATGTGCCTGCTTGGTTGGACACCAGAATATTCCTGTTATTGAGCCCCTTGGGAAACACACTTGTGAACTCTGGGTGACAGAGATCCTACACATTCTACTGAGCAGCTCTGACTTTGGAAAAACCCCTATCTATCTTTATTCAGGCAATAAATACAGTTTGAGCTTGTTCTGCCAGCAGGACCTGTACCAGGTCAGGCAATGGCCAGTGATAAGGTGGAGCTGATAACAGAGAAGCATCATTGAATCAGAAGAAAAACCATTAGTGGTGAGAGAGAAGAGTTTATGTGTATGTATTGAATATACTAAAAAAAATGAGAGTTCCTCATTGGCAACAGGTCCCAAAACTTTACTGCTGCAATTGTACAAATTCACTGCTGCAATTGTAGAAAAACAATTTCCTGTATCAAATCAGAATGCCATGTGTCCCAGTTCATGTCCATTACCTTTTTTTATTTTTACTGTGCATACTTCAGAAGAATCTGGCTCCATATTCCCTACACCATCCTTCTAGGTGGCTGCAGATAGCAGTAAGGTTTCCTCTTTAATCTTTAGAAAAGTCTGTGTTTATCCTTTACAGTGCTCTGAAAGTGCCACCTTCAGTCCAGCAGGGAACAAAGCAGTGGCCACAGTTTGGTGCCACTCTGTTAGAAGCATTCTCAATCCCTTGACCAAAACACAAGATCTTGATTCTTCCCCTTGTTTCACTCATTTCTGTGTGATGGATATGCTTCTAACCTTCACCAAGAGAGGAATTATTTCTGATTCCATCTGACTTTCTGCTTTTTGTCAACACTAACTTTTATTTTACAATAGATCTTTACCCATATCATGCTGTTCCTGGGTGTGATGGAAGAATTTCCACCTCATCCAGGAACATACTTGGCTGATGCCTGCAAGTCCTTTGAAAAATCCAATTTATGCAAGTGCCTCATTTTATTTTCCTTAGCCTGCAGGTCACTAACACAGTCTCTCCATATGCTGCTTCCTCAGGGTTGTTTCTTACACTGGTTTGCAAGCACATAAAGTGCTGTAGGTAGGCAAGGGCTTTTTAAAATAATTTGGCAGTAAGAATCCATCCAGATTCATTATTAAATCTCAAACTGTCTGTTTTTCTCATGCCAACCATTCCAGAACCTGTATGTCTTCTGCTGGATATCTGGTAAATAAATTCACTTGATGAAATGCAAGATTTCTTATCCCTATTTGTAAACCACAATTTCATATTCTGCCTCTTATTTTAACTTTTGATATACCCAGTAAGTCCTGGAACCACATTATTTGAAAGCAGAGGAAAAGCACCAGCAGCGTTTTTATTCTGATTCATTAGATCCAATCAATTTTGATGAATTTGGCATCGCAGTAAATTTCAGACACAGATTTACAGCAGCCCTGGTTACCACTGGAAACCAGGTATTTAATGAGAGAAACAGGCACCTCTGGGATGTAATTCATGTTATCCTGAACTCATCTTAATATTTCTTTTTCTTATAATAATATTTTTATGTGCAACATATATCCACCGGTGAGACAGCAAAACAGAGATCAACAAATGAAACAGAAAACTTCAGATTAAATAATAGATTTCCCCAGAGGGAAAAAAAATACTGTGTCTGAAATACCAGTGGAGAAACCTCATCTTCAAGATGAGAAAAAGCCACTGAATTAGAGAAAAGTGTGACCCATTTAAAAGGTCATCTAATCCTTCTTTTCTTTTAGGCAGGATAAACTAAAGCTACATTGCTTTTTTACAGATGTTTCATTAATCTCTTCTTTAAAGCTTCTGAAGACAGGCATTTGAAAATTTCTGTGGCAATTTATCCTTTGTGCTTAACTATTCTTAGCAGAAAATGCTGTCCCTGTAAATCTCCTTGGCAGTAATTTTAGCACATTGTCCTACTCCAGCAGACATGGAGAACACTTCAGTCCTGCCTCCTCTGCAGAACATTGCAGGGATTTGAAAATCATTAAGATACAACTTTCTAGGTAAAAATACATCTGGTTTTTAAAACTTTCTTGAAGGATATAGGTGTTATTGTACCTCTCACTGCCTTCTGCTGTGGCACCTTGAACTGCTCATAGTTTGGAAGTGAAATTGTGCGAAGAATTTCTGCTGATCTCTAGAACATGCAAAACGCAGTAGAAGGATTAATCAGCTTATTTTAACATGTAATCCACCTGTTTTTACAACAAAGAAGGACAATAATAGAAATCAGAGAAATCACAGAATGGTTTGGGTTGGAAGGGATCTCAAAGAGCATCTGTGTCATTTCACCCATGGCAGGGACAACTTCCACTACCCCAAGCTCCATCCAACTTGGACATGAACTCTTCCAGGGATGGGGCAGCCACAAACAATGTTGGTTCATGTTTAGCTGGGATGTCCTGTGATGCCTGACCCTTTTCTGTTGAAATTATGCTTATTCTGCATGTTGCTCTCATGGAAATGTGGAGGATTTGGGTGTTGCTGAGTACAGAAACAAACAGAACTGAGATTACAGCAAATGCCCATTGGTTTGAGGGAGTAGAGTTCTGCTGAGGACCAAGAAAATTTTGAACAAATGATTGTTTGACTTCCCAGTGAAGGAATAATCACTCACACCACAATAAAACCCCAGTGCTACACCAGAAAATAGATGGAGCTCCAGCAGGAGCTGCAGGAACTGACCCCTCCATCCCAGAGTTGAACACCTCCCTGAGCCAGGTTTCCTGAACACAGAACAATTCATTTAGAGCTACAGCCAAAGGTTCACGTCCCTGCAAGTGACAGATATTCCTTTGCCCTCAGAATTCCTGTCATGTTTGGTATTAAGAACAAGGTCTGTAAGTGCTGGAAGTTATGTGAGCAATGGGACTTGTAGCAGTTTGGTTCCAATGGCACATTGTCATAATCCCTAAAACCAATGTGAAGAAGATTTAAATTTCAATTTAAATGCTAGTCCAGCTGACCCTTCAATGGTGTTCTCCCTCACCTGAAGTTCCTAAATTTATAGATGATTGTGTGTGTCAATGATAGTGGAGTTATTCTACTCACAGCAAGCAGCACAAGTCACTGACATTCAAAACAAAAACTTTTTTATTTTTTCAGGTCAAAAGCAAAGAAATAACTGAACAAAATCAACTTTCCTCTTCTGTCTTCAGCCTTTCCCTAATCCCTGAGGCAACAATGGCAAAAAACAGCTCAGGGAAGAATGTTCTGATGTAAACTGCAGCTCTGGGGATGGGGTTGGCCATCAGCACCTCCTGCTTCTTCCTGCTCACCGTGGCAAGGACCTCCTCTGCCACCTCCACGGGGTGCACTCCATAGGACACCTTCCTGAAAAAGACTGTAAACGAGAGAGGAATGAGAGCTGCAGACAGACAGAGAGACAGGCAGGTACCCTGAGGGAATAGAGTTAAAAGGTAATCAGCTTGTGAATCAGTCCAATCAGTTTAATTTCTTTAATTTCTTCTTCTCTATGCACTCTCAATCCCTTCCCCACTCCATTCTCCTGATCAGTATGTGACCAAGATCTTTTCATAACTGAGGTAAAGTCCTTACAAGTCCCTAAGGGAAGGAGCAACCTGAGTGCAGTGGAATTGTCCCTTTGGAACTTTTGTGTCACCCTGATTTTTTAAGATTTTCTAAGCCTTCTGATGTTTATATTCTTATAATGAACTTTCTCACACACTTTATGTTAATAACTTTTTGTTTTGCATTCTTCTGTGGAGGAGGAGAAATTGGATGGACCTGTTGGTTTGTCCAGTGTCATTGGAGAGGTGGCACTGTCACCCTCCAATCCACTGTCACTTTTGGAAATCTATAAATGTTGGAGTCAGAAAATTAAAAGTCCCTTTTTTACCTTGGAAAGAGCAGTGAGTCTGTGTCATGTTGTTTCATGTCCTATAGTGACACTGTTGTGCTCTCCTCCCCCTCCATTCCTGATGCCCTGATATATTTATTTTCTCACATAACATTGTCTCATTCCAGGCTCCTTCTCTTTCCACCAGGCTAATATTACCTCTATATAGAGGGATATAGAGGTATTCTTTATATATATAGAATATATATATATATAGATATAGATTCTATACCTATATATAGATATAGAATATATCTATATAAAGAAATATAAAATATCTCTTTCCTTTTGCTCCTCATGCTTGTTCATCCTTTTTGCCATTTCCATCACTTTTCCTTTGTTTTTTAACCCTAGAAAAGCCTTCATCCTGCTTGATGTGCCTCATCTTCACCCACCCAAACTCACATTTCCAGATTGATGCCTCCCAGTTGCCTGGTGCTGGCTGGCGATGGTAGGAGCAGATGAAGGTCGGATTCACAGTGCTGACAGAAATATCAAA